CTTGTAAACTAAACAAACTGTCGAGAAATCGGAGATTTTGAATGTCTGTCTGAGCCTTCATGAGAGCCATAAGAATATCGCACTCGAAGGTGAAACCACTTTTCATGGCCGATAGGATCGGGTGGTGGAAGTGTCGGGCATTGGTTTTGATGATCTCTTGTAAACCATTAATGCATTCATCAAATAAACAAAACTTTTGATTCGAGACAATAGTTATCTTCTCGTAGATGTCCATCATTTCGATGCGAGCCCTCACGTACCACAAGAGTTGTCCGCAAATATGTGCCGCCAATCGATCCAACACTTCCAGAGTAGCTTTGATGGGAGAGTTGGGCACCGATTGCGAGTTCGTCGACATCAACGCCGAAGACAACGACACGGCTATGGATAGTATGCTCGAAGAACTGGAGGACGTGGCCGGAGAAGTGGGCGACGGTATGTTCGCGGGGACGGCAGCTGTGGTGATGGGCGTGGATGGGGTAGTGCTGGCCTGCCTGGGCTCAGTGGACGCGCAGGTGTTCCCCCTGTCGTGCAGTCTCTCGAACTCACTTCTGAGGGTTTCGTACATTCCTTTCACTCTAAACACATCCAAAGATAACAAACATAACAATCATATGTCACACAAATGGCACACAAATATAGCCGTCAATACAAACACGTCTTTGCGGAGGAAGCCTTTGGGCGCCAAGAAGTGCAGGTGAATGTAGTTCTTGTCGGCCAAAGACAACTGCGCCAAAGCCGTCATCATCGACGACATGATCGACGACTGGTTCTGTTGGTGGCNAGTGCAGGTGAATGTAGTTCTTGTCGGCCAAAGACAACTGCGCCAAAGCCGTCATCATCGACGACATGATCGACGACTGGTTCTGTTGGTGGCGATGAGAGTCCCTCTCCTTCTCCACCATTTCCTTGGCTTTGTCCCAAAGAAACACTGCATTCATCGTGAAGTACTGCTCCAGAATTGTCTCCTGACTCGACACCACATCCCTCGCTCCAGACATCACTGCACTCCTCGATGGCTCACCGCTGGACACAATGACTCTTAGGTGACGAATGGGTGCACACTATGGGTTGAAGAGTTGCAAAGAGTTGAAGACATCAGGAGATCCACTGGTTGTGGTGTTTGTCACCCGTAATCATGTGTCCATTCGTCACACTTTCAAAACAAATACAAATATTTCATAATTTTTTAAATCAGTTTCAAAACAAATGAAGACATGATTTGCACGTAATTTGTGCTCAAATTCTTTGAACCAATCGCTGGACACAGAAGTGGAGAGAGAGCACAGCATTAGTACCATAAATGACTGCATAGTGGGGGCAGTTGTGCCCTGAATGCCAGTGCCAGCCATGAATGGGTAGACACCACGGGGTGTCAGTACTGGCGGTGAGTTAGCGGACGTAATATGTGCGCGATTGGAGACAATATCGACACCATATTAGAGCTGTTTTTGTATGTGTTTTGTAGTGTTTTGCAGCTGTTATTCACTACTGTATTTCATACAACACTATTTTCATATAGCAAAGCTATAGTTTCATGCAGTTTCCCATGAACAGAGTCATACAGTCATACATAATAAACACTGTATTCGTATGTATTAGCAGTGAGTCTGTTGTTCGGACTAATTCTCACACAAACTCGCATTCAATTGAAAGCAAACTGTTATTCATTACACCAATCAATACATCATTTCAATTAAACCACACTTTGATTGACACGTTGTGTTCAACCGATCCATACTCCAGACGAGCGACGAGTCCAACCGTATATATATTGACGTTGTTTTGCACACCATTCAGGTATTTGTCGCCAAAAACATTCATTCATTGTTTGCATGCAATTCATTCAATCCGTGATTTACAAGCGTTTGGACAGTGATTTGGTTCATGTGTTCAATGTGTGTCTAATGTGTGTCTAATGTGTGTCTAATCTATTGTCACAAATGTCTAGTTAATTGCCGAAGGATTTGATTGGACGCAGAGATTGCTTATAAGACTCATTGCAAAGAGTGAAGACATCAGCAGATCCAGTGATTGTGATCATCAGCGATGGCAACGGACATGAAGTTCGGTCCCGAATGGTAACAATCCTCTGATTGCCTACTCTTTTGAACCATTATTTTGTGAGACATTTGCGCAAAACACAGACAAAAACAATACACTCATTGAAACCCAATTACACAATGACTGCTAATTAAAGCCCATATTTTGTGCACGTTTTTCACATATGTTTTGCTTTTATTTTGAATGAATAAAGCGTTTGTTTAATGAATTGATTGTGAATTAAAGGCTTAAAGCGTTGTCAGGGGGCGGACCCAACGCGCCGGCCACCAGTCCCCCCACATCAGGCGCTCCGCCGAAGTACAAGCTATCGGAGTATCGATACGGAAGGGAAGAGATGCTGGCGCTCTTCAACCATAACCTCAAACCTCCCGAGAGTTTAGCGGAATTCCCGCACCTTTTCGTCGAGAAAATGCAAATAC